CCAGGTGCTCCACCACTCTCCTCCTGATAATCTTCTCCATAATTTTGCATACTATACACGTCAATGACACAGGTCTATAGTTTAGTGCCTCTTTCTGTCTCCTTTTTTTAAAAATGGAACTACATTTGCCGTCTTCCATACCTCAGGTAGTTGCCCATTTTTCCAGGGATGTGGCAATATAAAACACAAATGAGTATAATGTGACCCTTTTAAATTGACAAACGTTTCGCCCCCACAGTGGGCTTTTTTCAAGTCACAAACAGAATTTACCTGGGGTGGAAGGAACGCGAGTATTTATAGTCCGGCTGAGGTCAGGTGAAGAATGCTGCATCTGATGATGTAACCGAGTTGGGTTGTAGAGTCTAAAAACTTGGGTAGCTTGGAAAGGAGACTGGACAAGTTTGTGAGCAGACCTTCTACAGGGGTTCTTATGTGGGATAGCGATGAAGAAGTTTTCTTGGCAATTTGGTTCAGCTATGTTATAGAAGCCACTATTCTGGTTGAAGTTGTCGGATATAGAAATAAGTGATGATTCCAGGATTTTTTCGGTATTGAGTGTTGTCTTCTGTGGCGATAAGTCTTGAGTTTCTGTAGTTTTTTCAAGTGGTTGTGTGAATTACGGTGTTGTACGCAGGCATTCCTTGTGTCGTCAGACCTGCTTGCGTATTGGTGTTCTGAAATACGTGTTTGGAGGCCCCTTTATTTTTTCGCCCACGTATAACTTGTTGCAGTCATTACAAGGGATTATGTATACCCCTGAAAGAGGATGGAGGCTTGTCCTGCCTACTACTGGTGATGTCCTTGATGGTCGTGGTTGTGGAGGTAGATACTTGGAATGATGTTTTGGCAAAGATGTTGGAAACATGTTTGGCAATGGAGTTGGTGGGAAGGACTATGTATCTCTCTGGGCAGTGTCTTCTCTGGGTGTGTTGAAGATGTTTAGTGCTCGCCGTCTGCAGTCTCTGATGAAGTGACGAGGATAGTGATTTTTGGAAAAAAACCTGTTCAATTATAGTGCATTCTTCCTCAAGAACTCGTTGCTGCAGATTCTGAGGTGCACGCAGGAAGAAGCCTATAATTACACCACGTTTGGTTTTGGTGTCGTGGTGAGAGTAGAAGTGGAGAAGATCGTTTTGGTTGGGGGGTTTCGATAGACTTTAAAAAACGAAGTTTCGTGGTCAGTTTTTGCAGAGTAGAACATCAAGGAAAGGAAGAGTGTTGTCGACCTCTTCTTCAAGTGTAAAACTGGTTTGAAGGCTCGACCTGTTGAGCTTGTCTTGGAGAGCTTGAACGTTGAAGCGTTTAGGAGTTATGAGGGAATGTCGGTCAACATAACGGAGCCGGGTGACAGACGAAGGAATAATGGAGAAACGTTTCGGCTTCTAGATGTTCCATGTATAGGTTTCGCTAGGACTGCACTGAGTGGCGAACCCATGGTTAGTCCAAAAGTCTGCTGAAAGAGGTGATTTTCAAAAGAGAAACACGTAAAGCCAACACATAGTTCAACCAGGTCGATGAATCGCTGGCTGGAATGGAAGATAAAGTGATCGTCAATTTTCTTGCGCAAGAGATCGATGGCTTGTTTAGTAGGTACTTTATTGAATAGGGAAGTCACGTCAAGGCGGAAAGTTTCTTGTTCCTGATGTTGATGTTGCGAATGCGATTGAGAAGATCACCTGAGTGTTTGAGATGTGCTGGCCCTGATAGTGCCCAAGAGTTTCGAGAGGTGTTTGGCGAGAATTCCCTGAGAGCTTGTGGGGAGCACTGCCAAATTCCCGAGGATATGGGCCCCCAGTGGAAAACCGGGGCTTGTGAGCCCTTGGCAGGCCGTACATTCTGGCAGGTCTGGGGTTGCTGGGCATGGTGTGCAGAAGTTTCTTTCCCTGTTCTGAGCTCCTCAGAATGCGGCGAGTCCTTGAAGAAAAGTTTTAGTAAGGTTGTCCACTTGGTTAGTTGTGAGAGGTTTGTAGGTATCTGGGTCATTAAGTAGATTGAGCATTTTTTTCCCTTTAAATCGTCAGTGTTCATGATAACAACACCACCTCCTTTATCAGCGGTGGTGACCCTGATGGTCGTGTCTTCTGCAAAAACCTTTGAGTGCATTGATGTAACGTCGGGGTATGACTGGGGAGCTGCGTGTTGAGATGGCTGCTGAGATGATGCCTTGAAGATAGCCTTTTTGGAAGTCGGAGTCATTGTGTCTGTAGTTTTTGGCGATGAAATTGAGGTCTTGTTTTGGTTTCGTAATTCCTGTTGCGAATTTGAGGCCTAAGCTGAGGGCTTCAGTTTCTGTGGTTGACAGTGGACGAGATGAAAGATTTTGAATAATTTCAGGTCTTCCTAAACTTTTCCAATTACTATTATCGCAGAGTGTTTGTAGTTTCCTAGTAAGTCTGATCTTCTGTTGAACATTCGCTGTGGTAACTCTGCTGGTAACTCTCACAACTAACCAAGTGGACAACCTTACTAAAACTTTTCTTCAAAGGACTCGCCGCATTCTGAGGAGCTCAGAACAAGGGAAGAAACTTCTGCACACCATGCCCAGCAACCCCAGACCTGCCAGAATGTACGGCCTGCCAAAGACTCACAAGCCTGGTATCCCACTGAGGCCCATATCCTCGGGAATAGGCAGTGCTCCCCACAAGCTCTCAGGAATTCTCGCCAAACACCTCTCGAAACTCTTGGGCACTATCAGTCCAGCACATCTCAAACACTCAGGTGATCTTCTCAATCGCATTCGCAACATCAACATCAGGAACAAGAAACTTTCCAGCCTTGACGTGACTTTCCCCCATTCACTAAAGTACCTACTAAACAAGCCATCGATCTCTTGCGCAAGAAAATTGACGATTCACTTGATCTTCCCATTTTTCCCCCAGCGACTTCATCGACCTGGTTAACTATGTGTTGGGTTTACGTGTTTCTCTTTTGAAAATCACCTCTTTCAGCAGACTTTTGGACTACCCATGGGTTCGCCACTCAGTGCAGTCCTAGCGAACCTATACATGGAACATCTAGAAGCCGAACGTTTCTCCACCATTATTCCTTCGTCTGTCACCTGGCCCCCGTTATGTTGACGACATTCTCCTCATAACTCCTAAACGCTTTAACGTTCAAGCTCTCCAAGACAAGCTCAAACCCGGTCGAGCCTTCAATCCATTCACACTTGAAGAAGAGTCGACAACACTCTTCCTTTCCTTGATGTTCTACTCTGCAAAGCTGACCACGAACTTCGTTTTAAAGTCTATCGAAAACCCCCCAGCCAAAACGATCTTCTCCCCTTCTACTCTCACCACGACACCAAAAACCCAAAAGTGGTGTAATTATAGGCTTCTTCCTGCGTGCACTCAGAATCTGCAGCAACGAGTTTTCCTTGAGGAAGAATGCACTATAATTGAACAGGTATTTTCCAAACTCCACTATCCTCGTCACTTCATCAGAGACTGCAGACGGCGAGCACTAAACATCTTCCAACACACCCAGAGAAGACACTGCGAGAAGAATACATAGTCCTTCCCACCAACTCCATTGCCAAAAATGTTTCCAACATCTTTGCCAAAACATCATTCCAAGTACTACCTCCACAACCACGACCATCAAGGACATCACCAGTAGTAGAGGACAAGCCTCCATCCTCTGCAGGGGTATACATAATCCCTTGTAATGACTGCAACAAGTTATACGTGGGCGAAACATCAAGGGACCTCCAAACACGTATTTCAAACACCAATACGCAAGCAGGTTTTGACGACACAAGGAATGCCTGCGTACAACACCGTAATTCACACAACCACTTGATAAACTACAGAAACTCAAGACTTATCGCCACAGAAGACAACACTCAAAACCGAAGAAAACCTGGAATCATCACTTATTTCTATATCCGACAACTTCAACCAGAATAGTGGGTTCTATAACATAGCTGAACCACTTGCCAAGAAACTTCTTCATCGCTATCCCACAAAAGAACACTGTAGAAGGGCTGCTCACAAACTTGTCCAGTCTCCTTTCCAAGCTACCCAAGTTTTTTGACTCTACAACCCAACTCGGTACATCATCAGATGCAGCATTCTTCACCTGACCTCAGCCGGACTATAAATACTCGCGTTCCTTCCACCCCAGGTAGTTCTGTTTGTGACTTGAAAAAACCCACTGTGTGGGCGAAACGTAGTCAATAAAGGATCACATTATACTGCATTTGTGTTTATATTGCCATTGTGTCGGTATTTTATACCATTTATTTCCAGGGATGTGTTGAAGATTGTGGTAAGTGGCACGCACAATATATCTGCTCCCTCTCTAAGGACCCACGGGGAGATGTTTTTCTGGTTCCCATTCCCTTTGGGGTATCGATGCCCCTTAGCAGTTTCTTCACCCCCTCCTCCGTATGTATAGCCCAAAACACTTGTTGGGGGTTTTCCCTTGCTGGTGTCCCCGTCTGTCTGTCCCCCAGAGCCCTTCCTGTCTTACTGAAATTACTTCCTTAAAATCTCTTGTTTGCTCCTCACATACCTCTGATCGTTTCTTGTGGTTCTCCCCTTCTTTCCTACCCTTATCACCTGGCCTTGACTGTTGTCTTCCTCTATGGGGCTTAAGCAGTTGGGGTCAGATTTGATTTTTCATCTATGTCGTTTTATCTGTCGCGGGCTCCCCCTTATTGTGCTACTCGTTTCTGGTCTTCTTTCTAATCTCCTTGTTTTTTCCCGGGTCCTATCCCCCTGTCCTTTTCCATTCTTGTTTCACTTGTTTTTGCCCCCCTACACCTTGGGTAAACCCAAGGACTCGTTTGGTCTCCCATTTTCCGTTTCCCTTGGGGAAAAAAACTTTCCTCTGCCTCCTTGCATTTTGCACTATTCCTCATTCGTTTCTGATTACTGTGTGGTGGTTGTGTTTTATAATATAATATTTTTAAAAATATAATATATTTTTTTTAATATATATATATTTAAAATATATATAATTTATATATATTATTATATATATATATTGGCATGTGGGGATTCTGTGTGTTCGTTGAATAAGGAAAAAAAATCAATGCTAACTGCTGCATCGAGGTAAGTCTAATATCCGTACAGCCCAAGAACCTTTTCATGTTTTAATGTACATATTTTGGATTTTTTTTTTGTCGTGTTTGTTTCTTTCTAGTCCTTGAAAGTGTCGCTATTGAAGCGACTGCCGTGTCCCACACGGGGCATTGGGCAGTGTTTGAGACTATTCAGGGTGCTGCATACATGCGAAGGCAGACACTGATGAACTGCAAGAAAAACATCGTCGGATAAGTGCCCTGCATGTCAACCGAATTTGACTGCTGCATAATATGTACATGTAGAAGTTCAGAGCATGATTAAGAATTTCTAGGTCATTTGCTAGAGCCCTAAACACTTCGTATTCGAAATCAGAAGTTAGGTATTCGGAATACATAGCATTGAAGACTCCCGCAGGCACCATGGTGATGAAGAATGTCACTACTACTGCAAACAGAAGTCGAATCAGGTTACGGTCGTGGCTGTGTGTGACTTCAGTTGCTGAAGAGAGAGTCGGTGCGGCACTGCTTAAAACAGAGTTGTTTTTCATCTCTTTTCTTTTCTTGCTGACTCTGATAAACTCTTTGATTGTCATGATGTTCAAAACAATCATTAAAACAAGTGGAATAAATGTTACGATAGTCTGTCTGCCCCATGAATAAACTAGATACAAAGGTTCTGTCAGGGTGTCATGTACCATGCACGCCACCCACCAAGTTCTGTTGTCAGGAGGTACAAAATAAGAAGATTCACAGTCATCAACTTCCACCGGCGTCTTAAGAAAACAAACGGGTAACCAGACAATAACAGATAATATCAGTGACCCGAGAAGCGCTTTGCGGGCAAATTTTTCATTGTGTATAGTCGAGAATTTGGTCGGGCGACAGATGGAGTAGAAGCGATCAATTGTTATACATATGACAGTGAATACCGAAGTGCTCAGTGGGACGTTAGCCAAAAAATCTTCTAAGTAAGAGTACCAGACAGCTGTGGCGTAGACGAGAGTGGCTTCGTGGATGATGTGCACAAACACAGACACTGAGAAGAGCAGAGCTACCAAGTCACTTGCAGCAAGGATCAAGAAGTACTTGTACGTCACACCTGCTGATAAAAATAATTTCGTAATTTTGTGTGAAAAAAATCCCAAATAAAAACCTAATTTTAGATGAAAATGCAGGGGAAAATTAAGTGATTCGAACTCATTAAGCAAGATCAGCATTAAAGACAAAACTTTTATACACTGAAATCTTTCATATGAAAAAATATAAATAATGATGCAATTGCAAAAGCCTGCCTAGGTACTTCAAAACTTAAAGATTCGTATCTTCTTTACCTTTAAATTTGGGATTCATGAGTATTAGGATGGTGAGTAAGTTACCCACCACGCCGACTGAGATGATGACTGGACTGAGTACACCGTAAGCCCAGGCATGGACGTCCAGAATCCTGGGGTCAAAGTTGTAATTTTCCGGGTTCTCACGGGTCAGGTTTCCAGTATCTGTTGGATTTTAATATCAACGGTTGCTCACACAATGTTACAGGTATGAAAATGCTAATGCATTATCTTATCATCATTAATATTATTATATTTAGGAAAAAGCGGTAAACGCGTAGGGGTCAAATATAGCCTCTGGAAAAATGGCAGGCAATCAGGTTCGATCCGAGACAGGGAAGGAATGGCTCCAATTCCTCGGATCAAGAACTTTTCCCCCATCATCACTGCCTCTCTCTTAGAGGGTAATAATAAGAAAGCCACTTAAATTTGATTTCATTATTAGCACCGTCATTCCGAGGTTCGTACGACCATGAGTGTCTTTCATCTTATCTCCAGCCCTTGATGATAAGTCTATTGAGGTAAAGTCGCTCTGAAGAGTCAGGACTTTATTTAATGGTGTGCACAGTAAAATCTGCATAATAATAATAATAAGCAATAATAATAATAATAATAATAATAATAATAATAATAATAATAATAGTAATAATAATAATACAAATAATAATAATAATCATAATAATGACAACGATAATTTTAAAAGTTATTAGTTAATAATGAAGATTTATTGACTTCACTGTAGTAAGTGTTGGAGGTTCATGGTTGGTAGTGTTGGAGGTTCATGGTAGTGTTGGAGGTTCATGGTAATGTTGGAGGTTCATGGTAATGTTGGCGGTTCATGGTAATGTTGGAGGTTCATGGTTGGCAGTGTTGGAGGTCCATGGTTGGTATTGTTGGAGGTTCATGACTGGTAGTATTGGAGGTTCATGGTAATGTTGGAGGTTCATGGTAATGTTGGAGGTTCATGGTAATGTTGGAGGTTCATGGTTGGCAGTGTTGGAGGTTCATGGTTGGCATTATTGGAGGTTCATGGTAATGTTGGAGGTTCTGGATTTCTTTGCCCGAACCAGCAAAAGGTCCCTTGTCTGCCAATCAGTATAGCTATAATTAAAAAATTACCTCATCTCCCAAACCTAACTAGACCAGCGCATTGCTATACCAAACAAAACCAGCTCAACTAACTACTTCCTGTTTCTTCACCATCTCTTATAATCCTATCATGGGGGAGAGCTAAACCCGCTTGAAATCATAGAGTCAATTTGAAACTTCTTAAGAAATCTCCATCAACTTAAGATCACTGAATCTGTTTACAGTGTTAATACACCTTTAAAATTTTACTTTTGCAAATTGTACTAAATGTAATATATATATATATATATATATATATATATATATATATATATATATATATATATATATATATATATATATTATATATATATATATATATATATATATATATATATTTTTGCTGCCTCTCTTTCTGTAATCATGCATAATTAAAATTTACCACACGAGTAACCTATGTCTTATCTTAAGTAGCGTGAAGGGGACTAGGATTAGTCTGCCTGAAATGCACATGCATGTTAATGGTTTTCTTTTGTGATTAACAAAATATTTATTACATGTAAACTACGTTTTGTATACTACACGAAGAAATAAATTTTGTTTTGCTTGTTCATGGTTGTAAATGTTGACGGTTAATGGTAGTGGGTACTGGAAGTGAGATACTCACTCCTATCCATCATGGCTGTTGCTGGATCCTTTTGCCATGAGCTCTTGGTCTCTCATGGCCTGGAGGTCAATACATTTTGGAGCTATACACCCGGGGTTAACACTTGTGCTTAGAGGTCAACACTCGTGGCTGGTGGTCAACACACTCGGAGTCAACACACTCGGGGTCAACACACTTTGGGTCAAGAATTATCTCATGACATTATGCTCCTCCGGTGAACGATATTGTTAAGACAACACTGTAACAAAACTGAACGTAGTCACCAGGTGGCTCGTGACTCAAGTGACAGCGTGCTCAGTTCACCACTGAAGCACCAGGGTTCGAACGTGGGACGAGCAAAACAAGCTGGGCATGTTTCCTGACATGTTGCCCATGTTCACCCAGCAGTAAGTAGGTACCTGGGCATCAGCCGACTGCTGTGGTTCGCATCCCAGAGATAAGCCACACTGGCTTTCTTGGGTTATGACTCACAAAAATGTAATAATATGCTCCGTGATTTATTGGATTATTAATTCCCAACACACTATCTTCACACTGCTCCCAATACAAACTGTCTTCAATCCAGGACAATCCAATAAATGTGGCTTATTTCCACTGGGGATCTTTGATCCTCTTCCCCATAATGCGACGCACAACACTCGGTTCAGTACAAGGTACCTACTTACTGTAGGTGAACAGGGACAACAAGTGTAAATAAAGTTTCCGTTAATGCCAGGATTGAACCCGAGTTCCTCTGATATAAACCGAACGAGCTAATACTTAGGCCGAAAACCAGTTTCCATCCCGATCATCATCACACTACTAGACGAGGACTGACACAAACTCCTGGCCACTCTAAGTTTACACCATCAAAGCGCTGCCCTATCTATAACACTGGTTCTATAAATGTTTATGATGTGATAGATGGTGGTATCATCACTTCCGGTGATAATCAGTTAGTTAGTTAGTGTGTGTGTGTGTGTGTGTGTGTGTGTACAGTGTGTGTGTGTGTGTGCAGTTTATCAGTGCTGATAAGCAGCTGCCGCTGCACACACACTGGATCACCTCTAGGGTGGTGCTGCTTTGAGGCTGGGTGAAGGGCTCGTGATCCAAGGAAACATAGTTAACTCCTTTTGAATCAATCTGATTATTACCCATTTCCCAGGAGCTGTGTGACTCAAATGGGTTTAACATAACCCGAGTACTAACAGAAAAAGAGGTACAGTTATAATCAATATTAACAGGTTTTTCAAATATAAATTTAAACGCAAACGGAAAATACCGCTACATGAAATAATAATAATAATAATAATAATAATAATAATAATAATAATAATAATAATAATAATAATAATAATAATAATTAATAATAATAATAATAGGAACACAGTCAAGGATATTGAGTCGTTCTTGTAACTTGATGTTAAGATTAGATTACTGTTAAATAAGAACTATATTTCTTTGTTTCTTTGATATATAATCGATATATCTCATGGACTGAAGTTATTTATTCTTTATTATATTTCCTTCAGTCTCTGATATAATATGTGATATTATTTGTAATCTGAAGCTAACACGTTTATATACGATTTTTTTTTCATTTGTAGCATTGCAGTGAGAGAACAGAATAACAGCTGTAAGCGTTGCTTAGAAAAACAGGGAGAAATTAACTACCAAAATCACAGAGTGTATAAGCGTGTCCCTCGCTGCGAGTCATGTGGAGTCGAGTACATATATCAACAATTTAGTGCCAGGGAAAGGGAACACACGAACCTTAAGTGACTAATTCACTGACAAACCCTACTGAGTTCCCGTTCCACAGCAGTGCGTTCCCAGTCCCAGGAAAGGATCTGCTGGTGAGCCTCCTCCTTCAGGACATTTCTCCTTTAACTTGATTGCCTTGGTCCTTCCACCGCGTTCAATGATCAGACGATTGATCTTCTTTTACATACGATTCAGACTGGCGTTCCCTCCTCAGGAGGGATTTTCCTATCACAAGCTATAGATCCCATTGCAGGCATACTTCAGGTTCTCCCGGAGGCTTTCATGGTAGCTCAATCCTCTACACACTAGGGAACGGAGATTGGAGTGATTTCATTGATCACACACACACAAAAGGAGACATGATAACGACATACAAAATACTGCGTGGAATAGACAAGGTGGACAGAGACAGGATGTTCCAGAGATGGAGCACAGAAACAAGGGGTCACAATTGGAAGCTGAAGACTCAGATAAGTCAAAGGGATGTTAGGAAGTATTTCTTCAGTCATAGAGTAGTTAGGAAGTGGAATAGTCTGGCAAGCGATGTAGTGGAGGCAGGAACTATACATAGTTTTAAGACGAGGTATGATAAAGCTCATGGAGCAGGGGGAGAGAGGACCAAGTAGCGGTCGTTGAAGAGGTGGGGCCAGGAGCTGAGTCTCGACCCCTGCAACCACAATTAGGTGAGTACAATTAGGTGAGCACACACACACACACACAGTCCCCATATTTAAGAAAGGAAACAGAAACGAGGCACTAAACTACAGACCTGTGTCTCTGACATGTATTGTGTGCAAAGTCATGGAGAAGATTATCAGGAGGAGAGTGGTCGAACACCTGGAAAGGAACAAGATTATAAATGAAAACCAGCATGGGTTCATGGAAGGCAAATCTTGTATCACAAACCTCCTGGAGTTTTATGACAAGGTAACAGAAGTAAGACATGAGAGAGAGGGTTGGGTAGATTGCGTTTTCCTAGACTGCAGGAAGGCCTTTGACACAGTTCCCCACAAGAGATTAGTGCAGAAGCTGGAGGATCAGGCACACGTAAAAGGAAGGGCACTGCAATGGATAAGGGAATACCTGACAGGGAGGCAGCAACGAGTCATGGTACGTGAAGAGGTATCACAGTGGGCGCCTGTTACGAGCGGGGTCCCACAGGGGTCAGTTCTAGGACCAGTGCTATTTTTGATATATGTGAACGACATGATGGAAGGAATAGACTCTGAAGTGTCCCTGTTCGCAGATGACGTTAAGTTGATGAGAAGAATTAAATCGGACGAGGATGAGGCAGGACTGCAAAGAGACCTGGAGAGGCTGGAACATGTGGTCCAGTAACTGCTTCTCGAATTCAATCCAGCCAAATGCAAAGTCATGAAGATTGGGGAGGGGCAAAGAAGACCGCAGACAGAGTATAGGCTAGGTGGACAAAGACTACAGACCTCACTCAGGAGAAAGACCTTGGGTGACCATAACACCGACCCACATCACCGGAGGCACACATCAACCAAATAACCGCTGCAGCATACAGGCGCCTGGCAAACCTGAGAATAGCGTTCGATACCTTAATAAGGAATCGTTCAAGACACTGTACACTGTGTTTGTTAGGCCCATACTGGAGTATGCAGCACCAGTCGGGAAAACCCACACCTGGTCAAGCACGTCAAGAAGTTAAGAAAGTAAAAAGGGTTTTGCAACAAGGCAAAGTCCAGAGCTCAAGGAATGTCGTACGAGGAAAGGTTAGGGAAATGGGACTGACGACACTGGGGGAACAGAAGGGTCGGGGGAGACATGATAACGACATACAAGATACTGCGGGGAATAGACAAGGTGGACAGAGATAGGATGTTTCCAGAGAGGGGACACAGGGACAAGGGGTCACAACTGGAAGCTGAAGACTCAGACGAGTCACAGGGACGTTAGGAAGTATTTCTTCAGTCATAGAGTTGTCAGCAAGTGGAATAGCCTAGCAAGTGAAGTAGTGGAGGCAGGAACCGTACATAGTTTTAAGAAGAGGTATGACAAAGCTCAGGAAGCAGAGAGAGAGAGGATCCAGTAGCGATCAGTGAAGAGGCGGGGCCAGGAGCTGAGTCTCGACCCCTGCAACCACAATTAGGTGAGTACAATTAGGTGAGTACATACATTATATATAATCAGAGTCCACAGTACTTTACCACTGAGCCAGACCCCAGATAAGTATGGGCGCCTAGCCGGAGCTAGACGATGTTTCCCCATCCTCCCGGGGCACTAGGCTTGTTTTCAAAGTTATTTCATCAAATCCTGCCACATGCCGTGGACCACGAAAGAGATTTGAAATAAACCATACCACGGGCGGGATTTGAATCCGCGGTCAGTCTCAAAACTCCATACCGTTGCTAACCTTCCTATGGTGTAGAAATATACCTAGTTGGACGAATCTTATTGTGGCTAGCTGGTGCAGTGGCTAACGCGACGATCTGGAGTTTTGAGACTCTCTGACCGCGGGTTCAAATTCCTCCCGTGGTATGGTTTGTTTGCAATCGTGTCATTACGATTTCGTGAGTCAGATTTGAAATGCTTAACAATTCGCAGACAGGCGAAATGATTTACAAACGTAGATACAATGTTTGTAAATAATTTTTGGCCGTTTGCCAAATCTCTTTCGTGGTCCACTGCATGTGGCAGGATTTGATGAAAACTTTGGAAACAAGCCTAGTGCCCCGGGAGGATGGGGAAACATCGTCTAGCTCCGGCTAGGCGCCCATACTTATCTGGGGTCTGGTTATGTATACATATACATAAAAGCATATGTGTAGGAATCTAGGATAACCCCCAAAAATTCCGAGTGACTTATTTACATTGGGGTCCTTGTAATAATTATTATTTATATTTAGAAGCTACAAACAGATAAGTATCTTAACTATGATTATTCCTTTTTTCATTCTTAGTAACAGGCGGCCTTCATTATTTTGGGAAACAGGGTAATTTAGCTACGGGTTATGAGCGAGCCAAGAGCCCAAACCAAGATAATTAACAACTATGATTGCTGAATAATCATTGTGGAAAATTACATTTACCTGGATGAATCTCATTAGATACATACCAGTAAATGGTAACAAAGATAATTATTATTTATCAAAGTTACAGAGACAAGTAGAAATTTTTAGGACACCTAGGTCGCAAAAAATGTTCCCCTTCGATACCTACCATAGTCTATCTCTCCACAAGTTGCTCTAGACCTATTAATTGCAAATGAAATATACATTACCATTAATTTTGGTAAAATTTAATATATATTTGTGGACTGTATATTAAAATTAATAAATGATTACATATACATATTTATATAACAGGAGAATTTATAATCATAACACTCACCAATTAGTCTGGAGATTACTGTGTGTCATGTACAGAACCCCTCTCTACCCAAATTTATAATGATAATACTGGCCAGAATTACAAACATAATTTAGATAGCTTATCTGAGGTTCCTGGAGGTGTCCTGTCCATCTTCTTAATGCTCAAATTATGCAGGAATGCACATCCAACAATTTCGGCTCCTATTTGAGAGGTTTTAAGCCCAATATAACCCCTAGAGCGACGAAAATTATACACCTTACATTAACGTGCTTGTAACACATTCAAAGAACAATGGCGTCTCTCTCTGCTCGTCAGCGCAGGCGCAGAACTTCCCTGTCGATTCTCTTATTTAAAATGCACTCAACAGAACAATAGTAACGCATTAATCAGATTTATTTGCACAGCATAAATTTTGGGAAATTATTTTCCACAATCATCCCTTGAATATTAGGCCAGAAATTAGTAATCTTTCTGTGTACATAACTATTAGTTAGGGAAACCCCAATGAACACAGGGACTCTTACTGTGTATGTTGGGATTTCTAACAACACTAATTGATTACGGGAACCATTTCCCCATGTACGTGGCATCCAAGAGAGAGAGAAGTCGTATAGAAGTTAACCTGTGTAGGTTCAGGAGATATCTAGCTAGGGTAGACTCACTCCACACCATGTAACTCTGTCCTAGTTTGTGCATGGTTAAAGGCATGAATTTCCTGTTATTCAGTTAACTCTTCTAAAGTAGTTTTCTCATACGGTGCTTGTGAAGACAGGACAAAAGTCTTGTGTTGTCTGTGCCAACAGTG